TGGCACAGGACAGAGTGGAGTTTAGGGCTGTTGTACATAGGGTCGCTATGAGTCGCAAGCGACTTGATGGCACAGAACAACAACAAATTATATTCCAAATTTTAAAAGTACAAGTAGTCCCTGACTTTAGACAAGGTTCTGTTCCTATGACTCTTCCTTGTTATCAGTAAATTATATGCTTCAGCATTGTATGTAGTGCATCTTACTAATGACAGGGGCCTCTCAGAAAAATCCAAGCAAATAGATGATCATTAAGTATGACTTGACATAAGTAGAATACACTGTAAGGGAGCTCTGGTGGCCTACTAATAAGAAGTTGTGTTGCAATCCCAAAGGCACATGGTTTGATTCCACCACGGGAAAAAGATGGGTAATTTGTTTCTGTGCGAGCTACTGCCTCTGAAACCCACAGAAGGGTCAGCTATGAGTCACTTCTGTACTGACAGCACACAGTGATGACAAAATACACTGTAAGGGAATATCTGTATAGTGCTTCAAAATAATTTTGTATTTGAGAGGTTCTTGCTTGGTATTCATAGTACTATAGTGATCTGTAATAAATATACCATCTCATTGCTCTTGAGTTGGAACTAGACTATTGCAGATCCTCCACTGGGTTTCTGAGGCTGTAAATCATGAGAGGAGATTGCCCACTTTGCTCCCTTGGAGCCCCTCATCAATTCAAACCACCAGAGTTCAGGTTAGCAACACAATTCCTCATAAACTACCAAAGCTCTGCTGATCCGATACTATAAACATTTTAATGTCAGAGTATACTAAAATAGCAATGGTCTATAATATAGTTTAAGAATTTGGTGATTTAATTTTCCATTTAGAACAGAAGAAGCTATTTCTAAAAGTTTAATATTATTTTCCTATCCTGCTCATCTACCTCCTTCCCCATATTTAGTATAAGTACCATTCCTCAGCTTATTTAAAAGGGAATCTCACTCTCAAAGAAGCCTTCTAGGAGATAAATAAAAAAGAATTCATTAGGAAAGATCACTGACAGTAAAGAAAAACCACAGTCAGTTTAAAATCTGAACTTTGAACTTGCAGAAAAAAAATCTGTTTATTCCTTAGTCTTTGCACTTACCTTTATCTCATTCTTTGTGTCAGAATCTTTTCCTTAAAGACTTCTTCTCTCTTGATTCCTACATGTGGTGAACACTCAAACCCTTTTAATTGATTTTCATCTCTTTTCCACCATTTCTACTAAAATCATATTAAATTCATGGTAATTTCTTTTTTTTATTTTTTTAAAATAAGTTTAATGAGTATTTACAGAGATTTTGGATTTCCATTCATTCATTGCTGCACTTCTCTCGCCGCCCAGCCCACCCCCCAGTTCACTCCTCTTTCAAAAGTAAAAGAAACATTCCTTTCCTGGTACATAATCCCCCCCGCACCCCTCCCACCACCCCAAGTACAAATTCATTGTAATTTCTTATTGGCTCCTGGTATAAACTCCAAATTCTTCTTAATCCTCCCTTTTCTATTTCTCCAGAAGGAACAGCCAAGATTCTCCTTCTAAAATATGATCTTGTTATTTTGCTTCTCATAAACCATCAGTGGCTTCCCATTGTTTTTAGGTTGAAGATCTAAATCTTTAACAAGGTTTACAAATTTCCAAAGGATTCTTAACAGTCTTACCTTTTCAACCATATTCTACTCTATATTTTAATGTGCTCTGCATCTTATTGTTAGGTGCCATCAAGTTGCTTACAACTAAGAGCAACCCTCTTCACAACAGCCCTAAACCCTGCTCTATCCTGTCCCAATGTTATTGTCTCTGACACATCTAACCTCATTACCCAAGTCACTGAATCAATCCATCTCAATGAGGGTCTTCCTCTCTTGCGCTGTCCCTCCCAAGCATGATGTCCCTCTCCAAGGACTGGTCCCTCCTTTCAGCACGTCCAAAGTATGTCAGACAAAGCTTCAGAATCCTTGCCTCAAAGGAATAACCTGGTATCACCCTCTCTAGGGTGAACCAGATTGTTCTCCTAGCTATCCGTGGTATATTCAAATTCTTCTCCAGTACCACAGCTCAAAGACATCAATTCTCCTTCTATCATCGCTAGTCATAGTCCAGCTTTCTGATGCATAGCAAGTAATATTTTACATATAGGAAAGAATGTAAATTAAGAATATTTTTCCTACAATGAATTTTATTTTAATTGAGCATTGGGAAAATAGAAATTTCATGAAAGATATGAAAATTACTAAAATTAAGAATTTGAGGGTACATATATTTATAGAATTTTTTAAGGTTTTTTTGGGGGGTTTTGGCTCTAGTATGAGAAAACAAAATGATTTGTAATGTTCTTTTACTGTGTTTAGTGTTGTGTGTATATAATTTTTAAAATATTTTGAGATGTTTTGCTTGTTATACACAATAATGGTAACATTCTATTTGAGGTAAATTAAAAATTATTTTGAAATTTTACATTTGGGAAAATACTGTAAAATAGTAAAATAATCACAGAAACATTTTGTGTCTTGGAACTGGCGTTATTTTCTTGCTTTTATTATAGTTTTACCAGTTATACTTGTGTCCCTAACAATATACTTTAATTTTGGCTATTACTGAATGTTTTGAGTTATTAAATATTTTTACTAAAGGAGTAAAAAGACAAAATTTAAAGACAAGAAAACTTTAAGTGGTTAAAATGAAAGCACCTACATCAACTAAACATGAGTGAAAACTTTGTGAATTGAAACGCTTAAATTTTTTATTTTACCTAACTTATAATCTACTGACCTTTACTATTTTTTAATGTTATTTGTGTATCTTACAAAATCTAATTTTTGAATGGATTATCTGTGGTCATTTGTGATGGTTGTATTATTGCTACATTTAATCCATTTTCTTAACGAATGTATTTTACAAACACGCAGAAAGAAATATTAACCCATAGTGAAGACGTTAATATTAGTTCTGTTTTTACTGAACATCACAAACAAGGAAAATTGAGAGACTCCAGTCAAGATTCAAAATTTGTCAAGATGAAAGACACCATAAGAAGACACACACATGGACATGAGGTAGAAGTTTCTAAATTAAAAATGTATTTATTTAGATTTTAAAGCATTTAATTGACCATATGTGTCATTCATGAAATTATTTCTTTTGAAAAATATATATACTTACATGTTTTAAAAGCATATATGTAGTTTTTTCTCTTCTTATTTCAATTATGATTTTAGTGAAAGTTGACCGAGATTTATTTTCATTCATTCACACATGTGCAGTAGCCCTCCTCAAATCACATTATAGTACTTGTCCTGTTCCAGATTGTTAAATGCCATACATATAAGGTCTTATCATCCATTCCTTTCAGATTGTCTTTCCCTTCACCCATTCCAATATAATGTTATTTTTTAAACTATGCTTTGAACATTTGTCCCCTTTTTTTTATTGTGATTTTAACAAAAGTTTACAGAAAGGTTGGGTTTTCATTCATTCATTATTGCACATTTTCCTCCCTTTCTTTCACTCACCCTTTCCCCAGTCCACTTTTTAATGCATCTCTTGTTCCAGATTGTTAATTGTCATACATGCAATGCCTAATTATACATTCCTTTCACCCACCTTTTCCCCTCATCTGTTCCAATGTAGTATTCCTTATCAATCCACTCTTTTCCTATTCTTCTCCCAACCTGCCCTCCATGTCAGTTCTATTCTATTTTAGTGGTACATTTCACTCGGCATAATGTCTTCCACGTTCACCCATGTTGTATAGTGTTTTACAAGCTAATTAATTTTCAGTGCTGCATAATATTCCATTGTGTGTCTGTACCACAATTTTTTCTCTTTATTTCTTTTTTGTTGGACATTTGGGGTGCTTTCATCTCTTAGCTATTGTGCATAATGTGGCCATAAAATGGGTATGCATGCATTTGTTTGAGTCGAAGCTCTAATTTCTATAGGGTATTTTACCAGAATTGGGATAGCTCGGTTATAAGGTATTTCTCTTTCCAACTTTTGGAAAGGTGCCATACCACCTTTCATAACTGTTGTACCATTTTACATTCTCATCAACAGGGAATAAAAGTTTCAGTCTCCCCACATCCTTCCCTGCATTTGTAATTTTCTGCCCTGTTAAACTTTACTGTTGTTGGCTGGAGTGAGGTGATACCTCATAGTTCTAATTTACATGTCTCTGATAGCTAGTGATTTTGAATATTTCTTCATGTGTTTGTTGGCTGAAATTCTTCTTTGGTAATGTTTCTATTCATATCTTGTGCCTATTTTGCCATTGGCTTGTTTACCTTTTTCTTTTTTAGTTGCTGCTGTATTCTATAAATTTTAGATATGACTCCCTTATCCAGATATATTATTTCCAAATCTTTTTTACTGTGGGTTTTCTTTTCACCCTGTTGGAAAAGTTGTTTTGGTGTGCATAGGGATTTGATTTTTAGAAAGTCCCATTCATCTATTTTATTCTCTCCTAGTTGTAAGTTTATCATTATGCTTGGAAATTTGTTTATGCCATAAACTTGTGGTTTCTAGGGTCGTTTCTAGTTTTTCTCTGATGAACTTTATAATTTTTGGTTATATTCCTAGGTCCCAAATCCACATTGAGTTGGTTTTTGTGTATGTGTAAATCACTAATCTGTTGACCATAGGTAGATGAGTTGATTTCTGGATTCTCAGTTCTTTTATATTAATCTTTGTGTCTGTCACTGTACCAGTACCATGCTGTCTTGACCACCATGGTTGTGTAGTATGATTTGAGATCTGAGAGTGTAATGCTTCCTATCTTGGATCTCTATTTCAGTCATGCTTTGCTTATTTTGGGTCTCTTTTCATTCCAGACAGAATTTGAAATTGCCTTTTCCATTTCATTAAAAAATGAAATTGATACTTGTATTGGATTGCATTGAACTTGTATATTGCCACTGGTAGAATTGTCATTTTTACAATATTTTCTCTTCCAATCCATGAGCATGGCGTATCACCCCATTTCTCTAGGGTTTTTGTTTTGTTTTGTTTTTTTTTGGGGGGGGGGTTGGTGGTTCTTGTTTCCTGCAGTAATGTTTTGTAATTTTCTTTGTGTAGGTCTTTTGTATCTCCTAGTTAGCTTTATGCCTTGTGTAGGTCTTTTGTATCTCCTAATTAGCTTTATGCCTAAGTATTTCATCTTGTGTTGGGCTATTGTAGTTGGTATTATATCAGGATACAAGATCAATATACAAAAATCAGTTGGATTTCTCTTCAGTGCAGCTTTTATAACAGGTTATAAAAACAGTGTTTATGTAACCACCAACCAATTTAAGAGATAGCGCATTACCAGTATTGAGAACTAATGTGCTGTTTCCCAACTGCATCTTCATTTTTAAAAACCGAAGTATTCTCTGTCTTGGGATTTGTGTTAATTATCATCCTGCTTTTATTTATAGTTTTGCCAGTTTTATATATATCACTAACAGCACATAGTATTATTGGTTATTAAATGTTTTGAGTTGTTAAACCATTTGTGCTGATACTGTTAATACAAATTTTCAATGACTTTCTTTTTTTTGCTTTTATATATTTCATTGCCAGACCATGCCACAATAATATATTTTTACTCCTTTTCATATTGATAAGCATTTTAATTTCGTGCCTGTTTTTTGTAATTACGCTTTGGTTTGTGTAATTATGAGTGATTCTCCTATGAACAGTATAAACATTATCTTACATGATTGTTGGTGATACATGTTTAAGAGCTCTCTAGTTCATTATATAGTTCTAAGAGTCTATTTTGGGAGTCTAAGAGTCTCGAGTATTGTGCATGTTCAACTGTACTAGATAATTCCCAACTGTTTCCAAAATGTTTTCTAAATTCATAGCCATCCCACCTGTGGTTATGATGTAGTTGTAATATTCTTTATAGTGGCACATGTCTAGTAATATTCAAATGGGTGGTGTTGTTCTTTTTTTAAGTTTCTTTAGGTCTGACTTCAGATATCATTTATTTTTACATTTAATTTTTGTTCTCTGAATATATATAGAAGGAAGTTAAAAACAAGGATAAAGATATTCAAAGAAGTTATACTTCAAAAAGAGTCCGCAAAAAACATAAGGATTCCAGGAGAGAATTTGACCGTGACAAAATTAAAAGTACCTTAAGAAAATTCCTATATAGAGATCAGGTAAAAGCTTAATATTTTGTTTTCTGGGTTTTTGGCCTTCCCTAAAATCAACAAACCAAACCCATTGCATTGGAATCAATTTCTATTCATAGCAAATCTATAGGATAGAGTCCTAGAACTATAAATCTTTATAGAAGCCTACTACTTCATCTTTCTCTTCAAGAATGGTTAATGGTGTCCAACCACTATCCTTTTGGTTAACAGCTGAATGTTTTAATCACAATATCATTAGGGCTCATGGGTATAATTTAAACATATAGTATTTTTATGACTCCTTACTGTGTTAAAGACACACAAGCTGTGTGGGTATGTTATTCATAGTTTATCTTTTGAATAACTTTGTTGTTGTTTTATATTCTGTGGAGTTGGACTGACTCATAGCTGATCCTCTAGCAGGTTTTGATGATGTTAGGTGCCATCAAGTTGAGTATGACTCATAAAGGCTATAAATCGCAAGGAAGGAGATTTGCTTTCTTCCTCCCTCACAGTCATTGGTGGATTTGAACTGTTTACCTTTGGATTAGCAGTGTAGCTCATAACCACTAGACCACTAGAGATCCCATGAATGTGGACTTTAGTCCACAGTAAAAAGACTTTTTATGGCATTGTTGAGAAATTGTTCTTTCCCTGAATATTTGTACTCTGGAGCAGAAATAGCTGCCTTCAGCCAGCACCTTCTGAAGAGTAGATACAGGTATGCTTTGACAATAGAGGATGGCTAGAATTGAGAACTGAATTTTTGAGATATTGATGCTACCTTGAATCTTTGCTTGGGAAAGGCCATTTGGGAACAGTGCCTCGGAACCAGCCTTAGTGTGACTAGGGGCATTATGTGGCACTAAAATTGAGAGCTGCATAGTGGAGAAATAGACACTTCCCTGAAGTTTTGTCTTCTTATGCACAAAATAGCCATCCCCAGAGTTAGCCCTAAGAGATGGGAAGGCACATGGCGTTTTGCAACTACTGAGACTTGGGGCTGCACTACTGGGACCTTGTCACGTTTCTGGGACTTTTCCTTGAACCACATATCCCAGGAAGCACTCCTGAGGCTTTTTTTTCTACCCCTGGGGGAAACCTCCCTATCCATCAAACTACAGGGCAAGACAGAAAAGTGGGCCTGTTACTGGGCAAAAGGAAGGATCTCAGCTCCCTGCCTCTCAAAGGACAAGCAGATGAGAGGTTATTCACAGGAAACAGGTAATAGAACTACCCATAGATGACCAGCAGGGAAGACTTGCACCGGGAAACTTAATTGGAAGGCAATATTTTAAAAAAGCCTTATTAAAAGCATCAGAAAGATTAGGAGGTGTTAGCAGACAGAACAAAAACTGTTCACACTTAAAAAAGAAGAACTTCACATAATGTCAAGAAAGCACAAGTCTCCAGAAGCATATAAGATTGCATAACCAATGAATACCCCAGAGACAGGGATGCAGAAGAAACATATTGACATGGAGGTATGATTGAAGAAAGGATTGAAACCATAGATTAAGTGAATACGTGAGAGACAGGAAGCCAGAAGAAATAAATCAATGAGGAGTTACATGAACGTTACATGAAGATATCAATGAGAAGTCACAAATTATGGAAAAAAGGATTGAGGCCATAAATAAAGAGATAGAAGAATTTAAAAAAATCAACACAAAACATTGAGGATATAGCCATCACAGTACTAAAAAGAAGAGAAAAGCATGAAAATGTAATCCAGAAAATCCATGGAAAATGTACCGAGTCGGGACTGACCCATAGCTGACCCTCCAGTATGTTTTCAGAGACAGTTAATCTCACGGAGGAGATTGCCCATCCTTCTCCTGCAGAACAGCTACTGGATTCAAATCAGGTGTCTTCAGAATTGCGGTGCAGCTTCTTGCAAGTAGGCCTCCAGAGCTCCCAGAAATAATAGAAAAGCATGATTATAATGCCATAAAACTAGAAATTAACTACAGGAAGATAAAGGATAAAAAAGCTACTCACATGGAAACTGAATAACAGCCTGCATATGTACTTCTGTGTTGTTGAAGAAATAAAAAGTGAAAAAAGTTCCTCGAAACAAATGAAAAAGAAATACAACATACCAAAACCTCTGGGACACAGCTAAGGCAGTCAGTCCTCAAGGAGGCAGTTCATAGCAGTAGACAAACAAATAAAGGGGAAAAGTAAAATTATTGATTTAATACCTCCACCACACAGAGAAAAAACAGCAAGTTAATCCCACAGCCTCTAGAAGGAAGGAAATTATAAAGGGAAAAGCTGACATTAATGGGATAAAAAAAATAGGAAAACAATTGAAATCATCAGTAACACCAGGAGCTAAAGAGTCAACAGAGACAGACATTGGCAAGCTTAACAAAAGAAGAGAAAATAAAAATAAACCAAATAAGAAATGAAAGAGATAACATTACAACAGAACTATCTGAAATTAAATCAATAATAATGTAATATAACATTGGCAAGAGTGGGAATCCCAGAATACTTGATTGTGCTCATGAGAAACCTATACTTGGACAAGGAGGCAGTCAACAGAACAGAGCAAGAAAATATTGCATGTTTTGAAATCAGAAGAGTGCATCAAGAATATGTCCTAGCTTCTTCTTTTTTTTTTTTTTTTAGTCTGTATGCAGAACAGATTATTCAAGAAGCTGGACTTCATGAAGAAGAATGCGGTATCAGAATTGGAGGAAGACTCATCAACAACCTGCATTATGCAGATGGCAGAATCTTACTTGCTGAAACTAAGGAGGGCCTGAAGCATTTGCTGCAGAAGGATAGTTTACAATATGATTGAAGCTCAACATCAAGAAAACAAAGATTCTTACCACTGGGCCAGTTGGCAGCATCATAATAGATTGAGAAGAAATTGTGATTGTTAACAGTTTCAGCTGGCTCAGTTCCGCAATCAACACTCTTGGCACCAACAGCCAGGAAATCAAAAGTGCATTACATGACTATGAAGAGCAAGGATGTTAGTTTATGGTCTTTGCAATCACTTGCTATGCATCAGAGAACTGGACAGTGACCAAGGATGACAAGAAGAATCGATGCCTTAGAGTTATGGTGTTGGACAAGAATATTGAACATGCCATGAACTACCAAGAAAACGAACAGATCTGTCCTGAATTGGTGAAACCCAGCTGCTCTTTGGAGACAAGGATTTTGAGACTCTGTCTCACTTTGGGCATATAGCCAGGAGGAGAAGGATGTATTTGGAAGGGTAAAGGAACAGCTCAGGAGAGGAAGACTCTGGATGAGGTAGGTTGACACAATAACTGTGGTAATAAGAATAGTTGTGTCAGAAACAGTGAGATTGGCTCAGGATAGAGCAGAGTGCAGAGTTATTGTACATAGAATTACTGTGAGTCGTAGTTGACTCAATGGCACATAACAATTCTAAAAATTTGAAAACCTAAAGGAAATGGATAAATTCCAAGAAACCCACACCCTACCCAGATTGTCACAGATATATGTAGAACACCTGAACAGGCCCTTCACAGAAGATGAAATCTCACCCTCAAAAAGTCCTGGCCCCGAAGGCAATGATCAAAATAAATAATTATATAAAATGGAATGAATCACATTGTAAATAAAAGATTATATAAAACAATGTATATGAGTAAAATGCATTCTGAATGAATTATTGTATGAAAGTCAATGTAAAAAATAACAAAAAGATGTTCTTATATGGATTCAAAGATTTTTTTTTTGTCAAAATACTCAACTGAAATTTAGTTTTCTTGAATAACAGAAATAGAGAATAATACCACAAACTCAAGGGACTAAGTTTTTTAAAAGAATTTAAGACTACATGTATATATAGATTAAATACTAATCTGGATTATCCTATTTATAACAATGAAATGAAAATGCTTGTTTTCCTTTTTATTTCATTATACAGTCTTGATTGAAGATATTTACTATGATTAGCAGTGTAAATGTGTTAATTTTATATTCATTTTTATGTCATTTTGTTGACACAGAAAGAAGTTAAGAATTCTCTTTTTACTGAATGTACTAAAAAAGCTAAACCTGAAGTTATGAAGAGTGATGTGGAAATTGTGGAAATTAAAAATACCTTAAAGAAACACATATTCAGAGCTCAGGTAAAATTTGGCGTTTTAAAATTTTTATATCATTTCCTGTCCTTTTCTGTAGCTGAAATATATATTTTATCCCTTATTATATTTAATATCTTTTAAATGAATATTCTTAGTTAATTGATCGTTGTTGTTATGTGCAGTCGAGTCACTTGCGACTCATAGCCACCCTATGTACAACAGCCCTAAACTCTGCTCTGTCCTGTGCCGATCACGCACACTGTCTCTGACACTCCCATCCCGATTACCAGTCACTGAATCAATCCACCTCATAGAGTGCCTTCCTCTCCGGCGCTGTCTCTCCAACCTCCCAAGCATGATGACCTTTCTCCAGCGACCGGTCTCTCCTCACAACATGTCCAAAGTATGTTAGAGCCTCAGACTCCTTGCCTCCAAGGACACCCGGTTTAACCCTCTCCAGGACAAATCTGTTTGTTTTCCTAGCAGTCCATGGTATTCTCAATACTCTTCTCCAGCACCACAGCTCAAAGGCATCAATTCTCCTTCTATCCTCCTTGGTCATTGTCCAACTCTCTGATGTATAGCAAGTGATTGCAAAGACCATGGCCTGTATCAAACACACCTTAGTCTCCAGGGAGACACCATTGCTCTTCAGTACCCTGGAGAGGTCCCTAACAGCAGACTTTCCCATGGCAAAGTGCCTTTTAATTTCCTGGCTACCAGTGCCAAGACTGTTGACTGTGGAGCCAAGCAAACTAAAGCTGTGTATAATCTCAATCTCTTCGCCATCCATCCTGATGCTACCAATTGGTCCAGTGGTGAGAATCTTTGTGTCTTCTTGACATTGAGCCTCAATCCATATTGTAGGCTGCAGTCCTTGACACTCCACAGCAGGTGCTTCAGGTCCTCTTCAGTTTCAGCAAGCAGGGTTGTGTCACCCGCATAACGCAGATTGTTGATAAATCGTCCACCAATTTTGACTCCACATTTCTCCTCATAGAGCCCAACCTCCTGGATAATCTGTTCTGCATATAGGTTGAAAAGGTATGGAGATAAGATGCATCCCTGACGTACGTCCTTCCCAATTTTGAACCATGCAGTGTTCCCTTGCTCTGTTCTGACAACTGCCTCCTGGTCTAAGGATAGGTTTCGCATTAGAACAATCAAGTGTTCTGGGATTCCAATTCTTCTCAGAGTCAGCCACAGTTTGTTATTATCCACACAGTCAAATGCCTTTGCAGAGTCAATGAAACACAGATAGACATTCCTCTGGTATTCTCTGCTTTCAGCAGAGAATCTAAACATTTAGGTATTTGTAAAACACAGAAGCAGTGCTGAATATTTATAATGCATATAAAATTTGTAATGCATGTAAAATGTCCCACAAAACCACAAGTCTGGTAGTCCTTGATTTAATGTAATACATTTAAAATTCATTCTTAATGATTATGTCAATAATTAGCCTTTTATTAGAGATTGGTTTTACTGTTGTAAAAGTTTACATAACCTTCTTATCAGTTGAAAGATATTTGAGGGTTTTATACCTTTTTAATATTAGGAATAAAGCTTGTTTATGTTGTTCTTCCTCTGTGCCATCAAGTACAACTCACAGTGACCTTCTCAACAACAGATCTTTATCCTGTCCTATTCTGTGCTATTTCTAATATACTTGAACCCTATGTTGCAGTCACCATGTTGATATATCTTGTTGAGGATCTTCCTTTCTTTCACTGACCCTGTACCTTTCCAATCATGATATCCCTTTTCAAGGAATAGCCTCTTCTCACTTTATGTCCAAAGTATGAGAGATGAACATAGTATGACCCCCTATGACCAAAAGTCCTGAAGCCTCTCTACAACTGTCGACATTTATCAAAGTTCATAGTTTCCAGAGAGATGTTACTTAGGAATTGGATGCCATTCCAGCTTTCAAACCTGTCATAGTATGTTTTTGTTTTTATGTGCCAATGAGTTGCCTGCTATGTATAGTGACTCTGTACAGCAGCTCTGAACCCTTCCCTGTCCTGAGCCAGTCTCACTAATTCTGACACACTGACTCCCATCACCCCAGTAACTGTATCAGTCCATCTCATCTGGAGTCTCCCTCTCCTATGCTGTCCATCCACCCTTTTGAGAATGAGGTCCTTCTCTAAGGACCAATCTCTCCTGGCCACATGCCCAAAATTAAGTGTGGTGGAGCTTCAAAATGCTAACATCCAAGGAGAGACTTGGTTTCACTTTCTCCAAGACAGACCAATTTTCTTAGCAGTCCATAGTATGTTCAAGATTCTTCTCTAACATCACAACTCAGAGCCATCTTTTCTTCTTCTTTCTACATATGACTACATATATTGTTTTAGTTGTTGTTGTTATGTGCCGTTGAGTCGCTTGCGACTCATAGCGACCCTATGTACAACAGCCCTAAACTCCGCTCTGTCCTGTGCCAATCGCACTGTCTTTGCCGTTTCTGTTATCTAAATGTGTTCTCTTGTACATAAGGTTTTCAGAGGCCTGCTATTTCAGAAGTGGATGGCCAATCCTTTTTCCTAGTCTGTCTTAATGTGAATGTTCAGATTTAGAGAAGTATCAGACAGACCAGCAAGTTAAAGGTATATCCCTTATTGCGGAGTTAACTTTAGTTTGACTACATATATAAGTATATATATTTTTTTAAATAAGTATATTTTTATTTCATAAGAAACTACCAAATTGTTTTGCAAATGGCTCTGTCATTTGCATTATCAGACTATAAAGGAGTTCAAAGACTCCACCTTGTACTACAATATTATAAGATGATGAAAAAGTTTTGGAAATAGAATTGGTGATGGTTGCACAGCATTGTAAAGGTAATTAATGCCATGGAAATGTACACTTAAAAAGTAGTTAAAACTAAAAACTTTGTTACATATGAACAATAAATAATAATGGAAGATGATGACAGTTCAGCTGTGTTTACATAAAAATAATAGCATTTTTTAAAAATTTATTCATTTTTAAAGGGAAAATGAGAAAATTTCATACCCCAAAGAGTTGTTTCCCTAAAATGATAGAAGTCAGTGGTCTGGATAAGTGGCTATCAAATTAATTCCAGCTACTTTTAAATCTATTTTGTAAGTTTGGCCAAACTTTTTTGCTTTGCAAGATGAAATGTACACTTTAGACATAAGAATGTTTCATTTTCTTTATATATTTCTCCTTTACAGGCTGTCAGATACAACTGCATTCGAATAGATAAACAATCAGCATGCAATATAGAGGTAAGAATCTTGGTATTGAGTAGTAGTAATAGGAGGGAAAAAAATGTGGCATCTGTTCAACAAAACTTTCATTCGAGTTTGTAATGTCTCTCCCTAAACAAAAAGGAAAATAGTCCTTTGAGACCTTACAAATGGATTTATTTATCTTTTCAGTAGAAAAAAAAACCTGTTCACAGGTATTTCAAAGCTCTTGATTGGTGAGATCCATAGTTACTCTTTTTAGAGTAACCTTTTTTTTTTTTAATTCCATTCATTCATTGTTGCACTTTTCTCCCCACCCACCCCACCCCAACCAGTACCCCCAGTTCGCTCCTCTCCTTGAAAAGCAAAAGACAAACTCCTTCATTGGTACACAATCCCCTCTCCCACCCCACACATTCCCCACCCCCACCCCAAGTATACTCCACTCTGCAACCCTCATTCCAGACTCTTACGAGTAACTTTTTATATTTAACTTTTACAGAAGTTAATTATTTGCTGTTCATTTCTTTAAAATTATTTGTTTAATTTCCTGTGGCCTTTCACAGTGCTTTTTATTCTAATATTCAGTCAAGTAATAACTTAATTTTAGACATTAAAAATATTTTTATCAATATAAATTTCTTTTTTTTAATTTCTTACAGCTTAGAATGTACTTCTATTTAATTTATGATACTATAGCAATTGTGTATGTCAGACATGACTTGATGGCACACAACAATATAGCAGTTAACACTTTTTAAAAATATTGTTAGTTCTTGATATTACAATAATATAGTAATATAATGTTAGAAAAGAAAAACCCACTATTGTAGAGTCTGTTCTGACTTAACAGCAGTCCTTCATCAGGTTTCCAGAGCTCTTAACATTTATGTAAATAAACCAGCTCATTTTCTCCCAAAACAGGTTAGTTCAAACCACCAACCTTTCCCTTGGCTGACTTTTTCATTGTCCTCAATTTGAAACCGACTCCTAGCTGATCCTCCGTCTGATTTTCTGATGCTGTTAACTGCACAGAACGAGCTTTCCCATCTTTCTCCCCCCCCCCGACCCGCTGATGGATTTGAACCACCAGAGAGGTACCACCATTGAGTTAGAGTTAGCTTTGCTGCACTCTTAGGGCTGTGCCCAGCCCAACGCACAATGAATAGACTATGCCACATTTGTTTACATGTTTTTAAAAGATGAAAAAAATCATTTCATTCCAAAATAACTATGTAGAATTGTTGTAGTCCTGGCCAGGGTCTGCATAGTATCAAGGAAGCTATGCAAATTCCTCATAAGGATTTTCTTTCGGGAATGTAGTTTGTGTCAACAGAAAATAGTAGGTGTAACAGTTAATAATTTTTTTAATGCATATACATTATCTCTTTTGCCACATAACAACCTTATGGAATAGTTTCTCAGGGATTATCTGCTTTTTTACTGATTATGAAATTAAAACTAATACAAGACTGCAAATTCACTCTTTAAGTCATAGAATCATTCCTTTTTAGGTTAAAAATGTGGAATTTCCCAGAGGTGTGTTTAATTTAATTGAAAGCCTTATAGAAGGACAGTTTTTTAAAGAAGCAATTGAGGAACTTTCCTCTTTACAAGCACATTATATACCTCCTGTGTGCCTTCTTCATGGTCTTCTAGAGAATATGCTCCAGGTAAGCTTAGAGTTACAGAATTTTTTAAAATGTTGCGTAAATGTGAATATTTCCCCATTTATTTGTATGTTAATAGTCTATTTTCTATTCACCCTTTCCCTCACTAACAGGAAATGTATACATTTATTTCTAAATTTTTTCCGTTTTAAATTTTTATCTTTGTGAAATCAGCTTGGATTATTTAGTATGTATATTCTGGATAGTACTCTGATGAGTACTTTAGGTTATTAGTTCCTCAGAAAATCCAAAATTAACCACAAGATAAAGGTAAATAATCCAGTTGAAAAATGGGCACAAGATATGAACAGACACTTCACCAAAGAAGACATTCAGATGGCTAACAAGCACATGAAGAAATGTTCAAAATCACTAGCCCTAAGAGAGATGCAAATCAAAACAACTATGAGATATCATCTCACCCCAGTCAGAATGGCAAAATTTAACAGAACAGCAAGCAACAAATGCTGGCAAGGTTGTGGAGAAACTGGAACCCTTATTCACTATTTGGTGGGAGTGTAAAATGGTGCAA